CAGCAGTTTGGCTATCCTGCTGCGCCAAGGCTGCCGCTGCCGCTGATGGAGGATGTGTCTGTGAAGTTGTCCGAAAACCAACACATTAAAGACATAATGGAACTGGAGAAGGGTTTGCACTAATAATCTTGGGGGGCTCTTAGCTACATGGGCTTTAATATGGTAATTGCTGTTCATTATGGACCATAGTCTGTTGATATCTGTTCCAACTTTCCAGCCGCAGAGGGCTACAGTCTGACTATTATGGATATGGAGAACTGCTAAAAAATATGCAAATACGTTAATAGCTTCAAAACTTGTTCCATAGTAATGAAAACTTAACCAGACGACCTGCCATGTGCTTTTTTCGTCGGCGTCAAAATCACTGCAATCCCTTCTTGATGGCCTGCTCGAGGCTTTCCCTCTGCAAGCCCAGCTTCTCCAGCTTCTCTAATTCCACCACATCGACCTTGTTCTGAAAATCGCCTCCATGACCTTGCAGGAAGTGCGTAACAAAAAACTTTACATACGGCGCCACACCATCGCCCTGCTTGATCTTCTCCTCGTACTCACTCTCCACCTCCTTCACATCGCGCACCCGAATATCCCAGTCTGCATCCGTCGTCCCCGTCGCGCGCTGGACAGCGTCCAAGATGTCCCTCTGCGTCAGGTGGAACGAGGGAGTGTACACAGCCTTGTTCTTGTACCTGGCCAGATCGGCCTCGGGCAGACTCAGCACCGCGGCCACAGCCTCGGCAGCGTGGGCGATGCTCGCCGTGCTGACTTTGGCATCCGCGCCGCGCCACAACGTCGCCTTGCGAGCTTTGTAGTCTATGCCCCATAGTCCTCCCTTGAGACCGTCGTCGAGCCATGGGCCGACGGCAATGGAGACCCAGCTGCTCACGCCAAGCTCCTCGATGAGATTGCGAATCTTCTTCTTTGCTACGAGCAGCCCGTTCTCCTCGACGAGCTTGCCGGCAAAGGGGTCGGGGCCGAACTCGGACGGGAACACATAGGGTACGCCGACCTTGGCGGCGGCACGAATCGCTGGCTCCTGCAGCTTGGCGAGGAGAGAGAGCGGAGGCATCAGGACTACAGCATCTTGTCCCGTGAGCACGTCCATGAGGAAGGTTTCATCCTCGAGATTGCCCTTCTTGACAATGACTTCGCTGGGAAAGGCGCTCGTAGCTTCCGGTCGCTGGAGGGCGGTGATGGTATGCCCGCCGTTGCTGATGAGGGTATTCACTGTCGGTTTGCCGACCTGGCCGCTGGCACCGATAATGGCAATCTTGCGTCCCTGGCCTTTTTGGGCCATTTTGCAGTAGTGGAATGATAGTACTAGGGCAAAACAATTTCGGATTGTCGTGAAATCAAGCCCGGCCCAGTGAGCAGCGATGGGTTCAGAGCGCGATGTCGTGTATGTTCCGATTGAAGGGTCGGGTCTGGTCTGCCTCTTTTATCCAAGGCGTCGTGAAGGTGTCGAAGATATTTGACACGGCTGGGCTCTGTAACACAAATTGGCGTTTCCGACGTATCCGACCTTGATGACATCTCACTATTTATAAGCAACGCAGAGATGAAACAATACCAGCGGCAATTCGGAGAAGCCACAAGGTTGACAGACGTTGATGGCTTATCCATGACATGGAAGCCTCCAGAGAAGTAGTGGCTTGCCTAACGCCAGAAAGGCGTAGTGGCTGGCGACACCGCATGTATATTGACATCAATGATATGTCAATACGTCAAGTAGTAACCAGCTCGTGGCAAACCACTGCAGCCCCTCACCCACATCAATGTTGTCAGAACTGAGGTGTTTTGTCAAGTCATTCAGAAGATGATTCTGACTGGTCCGATACAAGAGGATATTGGGAATCAAGTCGATGAGCATTCCAAGTGCTCCCTTCAGAAACTGCGAAGCCTGATTCAACCGCAACGAGGAGTTCTGCGGGACATATTCTTCCCAGGTAGTATATTGGGAACAACGATAATGTCTCTTACAGAGTACGTGTGCTAGCCACATGTCTCATGTCGCGTTTCCGAAATGGATTGACTTCTTGCCGTCCGAGGCGGAGACGGTGCGCTGAAGAACATTGATCCCAAAGGTGGAGCGAGGCCACGATCGTGTCGGCAAGAATAGCAACGGCAGCCATCTAGACTAACGAATTGGCCTTATTCAATAGTCCATATTCGGCGTTCATCACCGAGCATTTGTAGCCTGGGGTGTAACTACCCATCGCCCGATTGAGATTCGTGCATGCATCACAACCCCTCACCAGCCGTCAAGGCGACATCGAGGGTCTGGTCATTTTCACTCCCCCGCCTTCCACTCGTTGAGCTGTCTTATATTATAATCAGCACAATTAACTTGAAAAAGTAGCACCATGAGCTTCACCGACGAAATCAAGCAAAAACTCAGTGCGACTATTGACAAGGCAGTGGCTGGCGAAGATGCCATTCCAGGCACGACGGTTGTCATCTTTGCCAAGGATGGCTCCGAGCTGTTTGTCAAGTCAGCCGGCAAACGGGGAGTTTCGACAAACGAGCCCATGACTCCGGACAGCATCTTCTGGATGGCTTCTTGCACCAAAATCCTGACCGGCCTGGCCTGCATGCAACTTGTCGAAAGGGGCGTCTTGAAGCTCGACGACGCCGCTCAAACCGAAGGCTTCTGCCCCGAATGGCGGGACTTGAAGGTCCTCACACCCACAGGAGAGTTGGTAGAGAAGAAGAACAGCATCACCCTGCGAATGTTGTTGACACACACGGCCGGGTTCGGATATTCCTTCTTCAGCGACCGCCTCCGCGACTGGGGATATCCAGCTGGCATCGAGGAGTTCTCCGGCGACATGGCGGATATCATGCAACCGCTTCTATTCCAGCCCGGAGAAGGCTGGCAGTACGGAGTGAGCAAATAGCCAAATCGCCCGCTCTGGCATCATGCTGATCGCGCGCGCGCAGGTAAACATGGACTGGGCTGGTGTTATTCTCGAAAGAGCGACCGGAAAGAAACTCAACGAGTACATACAGGAAAATATCTGTAAACCCCTTGGTCTTGAGCAACTCACCATGTTTCCAACAGAGCAGATGAAGGAGCATCTCGTGTACATGCACCAACGGGCCCCGGATGGCAAGCTGTCCCGTCGCGACCATCTCCAGCGCAGAAACTTGACGGCCACGACGGCCGAGCAGCAAAAGGCCATTTTTAACAGCGGCGGCGCTGGCATGTTTGCCAAGCCTCAGGAATACTGCCGTGAGTCTTTTTGCTTGTCGCTCCGCATGCTCGTCCAATCTGACAACTCACACGGGGCGTGTTATAGGTGTTCTGGCCGCTTTGTTGAACGACGGCACTTGCCCGCGAACAGGTGTCAAGATACTCGAGAAATCCACCGTGGACGAAATGTTTACCAACCAGATTCCGCAGTTCCCTCAGTTCGGTCGACAGGGGCTTCCGACATCAAAGCCTGAATTGGTGAACCCCGTGCCGGACATTTATCCAACCCCTGGAAATCCCCCGCAAGGTTGGGGCTTGACGTTTATGCTTAATGGTGGTCCAACGGGAAGATCTGACACTACGGGCTGGTGGGCGGGTATCGCAAACGTGTTTTTTTGGGCTGATAGGGAAAATGGGATTGGTGGCATGGTTTGCTCGCAGATTCTTCCATTTGGGGATACTAGAGTACTTGGGCTGTGGGTTGAGTTGGAGAGTCTAGCGTATCAAGGGCTGAAGACAATGACGCGAGAAGCGTGATGCCGCCTTGTAAGTTTGGAAGATGGTGTGGCCACTCTCCCGTCGCTCGCTATCATAATTGTGGTTGGGTTTCGCTACTGGGATATGGGTCAAAGGATAAAGCGATAGTAGCTCTTGACTGAATACCCCTGGAATTCAGGTTAAAATTACTTGGTACCTTTTTGGCTCTTCAGCATCGCGTAAAAGTGACCCGCGGGACAGGATGAGAAGACTAAAGCGACTGAAGGAGCTTATACAGAGACGTACTAAAGACGCAAGCCAACTTATGCAACAAGACCTTGGCATATCTTTACTCGTAAGGTCCGATTGCTTTCTATGATATGCAGTAGTCCTTTCTCTATAGTGAGTATATTCCCCCTTTATCAAGATCACCGTCCTTCCGTGCCAAGAAACATCAATTAGCACTTTTAAATCTTGAAAATCCACCTTAACCTGACCACTATTTGCTTTCTTATTTGTCGCATAGTAAAACTCTGAATCCACTTTGTGTCAATTCAATTTCTTGTATTCAATTGCCATAGCTAGCCACCGATGGCAAGTATCTGTAACAACTGATACGTCCTCCAACTAATTCTTCAGTGCAAATCAATACACCTCTCCACGGTCAAGATACACCATCCGGCTCTTCAGCCCAGCCCTCTCTACTTCTGCCTCAAAGTTAAAAGGGGGCGAGTTGAAAACACTATAGTCATCGTAATGAATGGCAATAGTAACTTCAGGATTTATCAACTGCATAAGTTGCACTTCTTGCTTCGAATCTATTGTCACCATCGACAACCGTGCATTCAGTCCTGGAATAGTCGTTCCTCCCAGGCGGACAAGCATAAGATCCAAACGGAGAGCCAGTCTAGACCATTGCTTCATCTATTTTGAACCTAGCTTGGGTCTGTCGTTGCAAGGCTAGCAATAGTTTCTAGTAGCATCTCCAACTTCGTGCCTTGTTTAGAGCTAATAGACCCCAGGCGATGATTACTATGAAGCGAGTGGATAGCTTAGCGCTTAAATTACATAGCTCATCGTCAAAATGCTTCGCGAGCTAGAATAAAGCGTCATATTATGACCATAGACCAACAACCATTCGGCAATTTGCTTCTCTCACTCTCTCAACCACCTCACCAACTTCCATATCTCAACTTAAACCATATATATACTCGAAATTCCTACCCGTTCAGTCCTATTTGTCAATTTTGGAAGGAATCCTCCTGGTCATATCATTCTCACCCAGTAATCTGACCCGCTCCACGATTTCTTGGTACTGTTCACATGGCGCTGGTTATTTGTGCACACCCTTGTCGATAAAAGTCTTTGACACAGCCTCCAGCACTGCAGTTTGGACATCTTCTAGGGGAGGAACTACACTAATAATCGTGGCGTCAGATTCATCAATCCCAGGTCGCTCAAGTTTTTGAAACTGGCTGTGCATTAGATTTGACTCGGGAAAATCATCATGTTTAGCCTCTGCTCGACGCCGCAGCTCGGACTCTGGTGCGTCGAGGTATACAAAGTGCACGACTGAATAGCCAGCGTTGTGGCAGCTTTGCCTTAGCAGTTCGCGATAACTCCGCTTCAATGCTGAGCATATGATGATGAGATGGCGCTGGTGAACCTGGTCCTTTTCGTAGTCCGAGACATGCTCCGAGATGGCTTCAAGCCAGTGTTCGCAATCCGAATCAGTCAAAGGCTCGCCGTTGTGTATTTTGTCAATGTTGGCCTTCGGTTGAAGCTACAGACCAGTTAGCGCCGCTTTGAAAGGCTTCATGGGTGTGTGTCTGACGTCGTTTCCCTCAATATATTGGGCGTTGAACCTGGAGGCAAGAAATTTCGCCACCGTGGACTTTCCCGAAGCCGTGGGCCCGGATATAAATAAAACCCATGATCGATTATGTGCTCCTTCATGCCCAGCCGAGATAACATCCCCGCTTGTTTTGTTGGCATCGATTAGTGGAAGAAACGTCATCTTTCCCGTACAGGCGCTTATCCACTATATTACTGCTGAAATAGCCATTGAAGTTTGAAGTGATTTGAAAGAGAGAAAATACTTGATTAATTGTTTTCGGGTGTCATCATCGAGTTAGTTGTCGCCAAATTGTCCTGTGCTTTGCTGACGTCACGCTGATGCCATTAAACCCCAAATCTCCCAGCCTCCGGCCATAAACAAAAGATGGGACAGGCTCTCAGAGATTTTGAAGTCTACATAGATATATAAACATTATCGATGCTGTTGGGACTTAATATGGCGTAGGTGGGAAAATTTGTGGCCAGTTGGCGTTCAGTTACTCGTGGTCTCAACATGGAGTGAAGCACCTACCTAGGTAGGTAGTAATACCTCGTTTCCAGAATTTACGTATCTTTGAGTCTCATGTTAAAACGTATTTCGATCCAACGTCATAAAAACTAGTAAGCGTATCAAATGACCCAAAATGGATGACACCATTCTTACAAGCTCCGCCAGGGAAACGTATTCCTCCAACATGACGGCACCGGGATGTCATGGTGCGGCTGACGTCTTTTTCCTAGCGGGGTGATTGTTTTAACTCTAATTTCCTTCCCATTTTTAGTCTCTTGTATCTCAATGCTGACCTCTGCTTGCTGGTCTCTTGCAACTGCGCCGAGTTCTGTATGGTACAAAGATGGCAAAATGCGTTCTGGGGACCATAAGTACTGCCGTCTGAGAGCTTGGCCGTGATGTTTGACATTTGTTATTCCAACTACTCCGTGGCTGCGCATCTAGTTGGGTGTTTGCACGTGAACGATGATGAAATATTGCGCAGCACCGTGGCCGTTGGTCGTCAACGTCACATTGCGACGTTGAAGCACAACACATGTCACTGGCGTCACTGTTACAAGACTGCACGTCACCATTTATTTAGTGATTCCAAATAACCAGCTTTTCATTGGCCAAGTATAGTCGTTCCATCATATGCTTCTTTTATTCACACCAGTTCGAATAGAGTATAAATATGAGTGGAGGCAGTGTCCAAAATGTTCAACACTTGCCTATTTACCAAACGGATTATGCTTAGTCTACGCACTGTCGCTTCCAGGTTTCCCAAATATTACAATATTTTCCCTGCTTCTTTGTCAAGTCGTTCCATTCAACAATCTGCCGCCATGACTACCATATCCCAGGCAATCATCGATGACCACAGAGAGCTTGAGCAATACTACAATGAAGTAGTTAACAACGAAAACGATCATGACCACCAGCAACGCTTCGGGAACCAATTCATTTGGGAGCTCGCAAGGCATTCCGTGGGCGAAGAATTGGTCGTCTATCCAGCCCTGGAAAAGCACCTCGGTGTAGAGGGTAAAGAAATGGCCGAATCTGACAGGAAGGAGCACCATTCCGTACGTAAAGAAACTAAACACAGGGCTTGACCAGCTATCCGTAGCAAATTCTAATGAGAGATGTCAATACAGGTCAAGCAGATGCTGAAAGAGTTTCAGGAGATGAGTGCCTCTGACTCGGGCTACGTCAGCCAGTTGAAGAAGATTTGGGGTTCTCTTTCCGATCACATTAAAGAAGAGGAGGAACGAGATCTACCTGCTCTGGAAAGCAAACTCAAGTCATCCGAGGATGAGTCCAAGTCCATGGCCCAGTCTTTTGAGCGCACCAAGTTATTTGTGCCTACTCGCAGCCACCCCAGTGCTGGAGAGCACCCGCCGTTTGAGACTGCAATGGGTTTGCTTGCCGCCCCTATTGACAAGGTGGCTGATCTATTCCGAAAGTTTCCTGACAAGGAGAAGCTGTAGACAGGGCCGGAATATCTTCAAAGTTGAAGAATACACAGTCTCTTTTGTTGATGTGGGTATTTGTTTTGGACACTAGTACTACTGTTCGGCATGATGCGAGGGAACCAACCAAACATGTTCAATCTCTCCTTGAGTCGCTCCGACGTGGCCAAGGGGGATTTGTCAAGATAGGATGCCCAAAGATAGGATGCCCATAACATCATTAATCCGCAGACATGGTTATTTAGATCAATATGGACTTAGAGCATCGTTACTTATGTGACTGAGGAGTTGCTTAATTACATTTCCTTAAACTGTTTGATTCCACTAATAATAAAGTGCTTCCAAGAATTCATTATGCGTAATTTCTCAAATGCTGTGGTAGGTAGGCATTGTTTGAGACATGGCGAAGATTTTAAAGATGTAAGCGACGTAGTGGTGACATCACCGTGACGACTTGAAGTGTGCTGCCAGGGCCGCACGCCGATGCAAAAGAATTCATCGATTCTAGTGTAGTTATGCATATCTTTCAATCACACCCAAACTTCATCTAGGGGAGTGCACTTCACAACTGAGAGCTACCGGGTATGTTAAGACATGAGTTACACAGACCCGCCAAGGTGCCACGGATTACAATAGGTCGGCAAGTTGGCAATCTGTTGGTTATGACGCCAACAACGTCATCTCGCTTCTGGGCTTCATGAGCGTAGACCATCTGTTGGCACTGGCTGACTTGCATGTCGATGTCGATTTTGTAAAAGTGCCCCACGAAAGTCGGGCTTGGCGGAACCGAGAACAACCACCGTCGACATCTCGGCCGCAGCTGGGCTTGTGGATAACGACGGCGAGTAATGCTCCGTTGAAATCCCCACTGATCACGACTCATTTGGACTTGGGGCGGGTCAGGCTCGACGCAGCCTCCGACTTGACGCCAATTACACCGCTGGGGAACTTGATACCGAACTGAGTTTTTGGCAAAATCCAACAGTAGTCGAGCCGTTGAGTGTTGCACCAGACACGTTGTACTCTGTATCATACGTCACTTTCTTACCATGGTGCTAAAACCCCACTGACGTCAGTGGAAGATATTTGGTGCTCAGAAGCTGAGTTCGCCCGCTTCTGCATCATTCCATCACAGGCGACAATTATTTCTAACGGACACAACACACATCAGGATCTGCCATACTGGTCAGCTATTTGCAAATATTGATCATTAAAACCTCTATTATTTCCGAAAATAAATATCCCCTGACTCGGTATCCTGTCCAGCGACCCTATGATGTCATCCGCTCTTGTACAAGAGAATGGCGAGCCTCAGACTATCGAGACTTCACAAGGCAGCATGGTTGTGTCTTCAGATCTCCTCATGGGGTCTAGAGCCGTGGCTGATGCAAGCTTGGCCGCAATTTCATATCCAAACGATGAAGTCAATAGCAGTACATCCCTCGAAGCATGTTTGTCGTCATCCACCTTGACTAGTCCCAACGTTCTTAGAGATGGCGTGGTTTCAGTACAGGCCGAGTCTCAGGTTGTGCGATATCCTGAACCAAATGGAGTAGAATATCATGCTCCATCGCATTACAAGGACGGTGAGAATTGGGCAATCGATCCGCAACTGTGCGAGTCAGGTTTCTTGGACTACGTGCAATCGCAAGGCGAATTATCAATCCCAACAAGTCAGCTGTCGGACAACACCCAGGACATGGAATATTTACCGCTTGATACGAGGAATTGCGTCGGCTTTCCGAGACCGCCACCGACGTCAAGACAACCTACGCTATTAACACCATCCGGAGTGTTGAATGATCGCAGCTCGAGTTCCGAGACGCCCTCGCACGATGGTAGCAGCTCGAATATTCCGTCGTATATGACGCCAAATGCCATTCGGGCAAGAAATTTGATCCTTAGCTGTAATCTTCCAAGACGAAGCAGCAAAACCTCTGGCCATGTCCGAAACGTCAAGCGGCGTGTATCAGTCTCAGAGGATTTCTGGCCCTCAAAGCGTCAGAAATTAGACAGCACTTGTTGCAACAGCTAAGTTCGATTGCGAGTTTTTCCGGGCATGTGAAGACAGAACGACTGGATTCGGAGACGGGGCAAGATGTACTGGTTTCTCTCCTTTCTTGATTTATCTTTCTCTTTCATGTTGTCTTCACTGAGAAGGCATGCCGGCTATGATCTTTTTATGCGCCCTGTTTTTAAAATAACACATCGAATGATTGTAGGACAGGGTGAGCGAGAATTACGTCTGTGCGTAAAGCACGCCTAGAGACAAAGTTAGCCAACGCTGTGAACAAGATGAAGAAATTTTGCAAACTAACCAGTACGGATATCGTGATATCTACCAGCCATCACGGCACCACACCCATAGAATTCAGCTTTGAAAAGCTAAAAGTTAATCGGCGATCCGTTGACAGCCAACGCAAGGACTGGACGAAGTTGCCACCCTCGCGCAAATCTCGTTCACCTTGATCACGTGAGTTGCTGCTGCTTCTCACGCAGTTGGATTCGTCGCCAGCCTCACCAGTGTCACCAGACTCACCACCTTCATCCAGAGACACATTTGCAGCGCCATGTCGATGTCGGAGTCGGATCGCCCTCGAAAACATCAGCCTGTGGCATTGTTCGAGACGATATCTCGTGGCTCGTTTCCACGATCACTGACTACTTCAATTTCGACCGCGTAAAGCCAATTCTCAAGGCAGCACTTGCGGATGGACTGCAGAGTTCAAACCTGTTGATCTAGGATCTCGCTGCCACTGCTGCCTGTGAACGCACACCCTCTCCCCAAACCCCGTCGCGAACTAGTTTGGAACTTTGTCTCCCAAAGGCACGACCTATGAGCTATAGAGAGCTGGCTGCAGCTGCGATGTACAGGCGGGGAGACTCCATTCACAGATTTTCCCAATGGATCTCGCAGTGACTCTGATCAGATCGGTGATGCGGGCCTTTTATCCTACACGCGATATTCTGGTGATGGATGCTCTCATTCTCCATGACGCTCTCCGAGACGACGACTTGGCTTATTTGATGGCTATAAACACGAAAGACTTGCACAAAATATGCGGTAAATTACGAGAAGACGGCTTCTTGACTGTTCATACTAGATTGGAGCAACGTGAGGGTAACTCTCGTTCCAGCAATCGAACTTGGTACTATATCAATTATCGTCATACCATTGACGCAATCAAGTGGCGACTATACACCATTATCAATGAACCGCAGGGCTCCCCGATACATGCCAATGAGAAGAAGGAATACTATTGTAATTTTTGTAAAGCTAGATGGACGACCATGGAGATCTTGGATAGTGTTGGAGCAAGTGGCTTCCTCTGCCACCGATGTAATCACACGCTTATATGTGAGGCTGATCGCACTTCAACTGGACACGAGCAGTCAACCCGACTCAATGACCAATTTCAGTTTATTAGCGAACTTCTTCCGAAAATTGATTCTTTACATATACCTGAATATGACTTTAATACGGCACTATCGAAGGCTCGTCCAGTTATTCGCGATGCTACTCACCAGCGTGCCGCAATAATCCCTATCGACGGTGACCTAAACCGGCCGATGGCTGTGAAGGGGCTCACCAATACTGGTCCAAAGACTATTACCGTGAACGTATCAACGTCTGATGACACGTCGGTGGCAGAACGAGAAGCCAAGAAGGCTCGCATTACCCACCAAAATGCCCTCCCTTCGTGGATGTCCTACAGCACTGTGACAGGTGAATCGTTTTCCGGCACAAGTGGTGCTGGAATAAGCGCTGCAAATCAAGGCAAAGTCAACAAGGCCGCAATGCCCAACACACTTGCGGATATGAGCACTTCTGTCGAGATTGATGATTACTTCGAAAAACTCAAAGCAGAACAAGCTGCCATAATGGCACAACGCTCGATGCAGAACGACGAGGATAAAGACTGTGTATTAGATGAGCAAGGCGATAATGATGATTCTGAAGATGTACAGGCGATAGGAAAGAACTCCAACGTAGATGTATCTGGGAATATAGTACCAAACGCAAAAGAACTTGGCGGGATGTCTTGGGATGACAGCTTTGACGAGAGGGCTTCGAGGAGACTTAAAAAGGCCAAGCCAGATATCAGAGGAGCGAAATCCACCTCACGCGAAGGTTCATATGACGATGATGAGATAGAATTCGAAGACATCTGACGTTGCTTCCCAACTTGGCGAATAGAGGCGGACGTCGCACTTGACACAAGGTTGTCAACTCTGCCTGGAGGAAGATGGTCCGTCTTGTTTAAAAACTTCACTGGTCATGATATTAAGCTTGCTCTCTGAACAGTTCTCATGGGCTTCGTGATGATCTTTCAAAATGCCAAACTCGAAGTCATGGCCAAGAGGGTGGAGATGTACGAGGTCTCAAACGAAGCCTCGTCAAATGGCGACCTCGTCGAAATGAAGCATGAACCACAGTTTGATAGAGGTCCTTGGCTACCTAAATCCTCTCAGGTCTCCAAAACACTGCATAGCTTTCCCGTGACCGACTTCGAAGAGTATGCTATCAGATGCAACCTCACCATGCCGCGAACCGAATGGAACTATTTTTCTCTGACATTTCAGCATCCAGAGGATCCGGAGCCAGCAAATGAAGATGGACTCCGTCGAATATGCCATGCACTGGTCGAGCGAATAGACATCTTTCCAACCATTTCTTTGCGGCATCAAGATGGCTACTTGCAAGTGCTTCTTGCTCGTGTTGAACCGCATGTGAGCGTCAGTCGGGCGTCGGGGTCGCTGGATGCAGTAGCGTTGCTGTCCATGAACCTGTATCGATTAGGCTCAACCACAGCATCGCAACCCTATGACGGACTCTGGTTGACATTTCGGCCGGAAGTCTTCCTAGAGTCGGGGAATCCTGTTCTGGCGGTTGTGAATGCAGGCCCTGGGCCGAGAAACCAAGACAACACTCAGCATCGGCGCCGACGCGGCAGGAATTGAGCGAGCCGATGTCACATCTGGCTTCAAGATTGTATGTGTAGACGTCGTTGGCACCTCGACAGTCGACACACTCTGCGAAGGCGCAAAACGCCGCAGCTGACTGGAGATATCGACCCTGCAGTGACAGTGGCCATGCAGGCTGCCGCTGACCATGCAGAATGTTGCTATATGCACCTGCCCAGATACCCTGCGAGTTCGCCGTTGGCACTTTTTAAGTGACCACCATTTCATCGACGATTTGACGTCACGGTTGGTTGGCCCTCCGCATCCCCTTCGCCAGGCAACCAGGTGAGCAGCGCTCTTCAGTCACAACCCCGGCGCTGCCTTGGTCGTCCACATCAGGTCAAACGTCCTCAACGACTACGAAAGCTCGCAAGGAGGTGACTCCAGATTTTATGAGCGCAGACTGACAAGAAATACCACCCTCGGTTGATTTGCTCTTCCTGTCATCAGCTCCTTGGCGTGCGGTCGAGTTGAAGACAGAGCCCACATATCCCGCCTGGTGTGACTACACAAACGGTTGTCAAAAGTCATTCCGTCGTGGATAAATAGGAGATTTCTCGATTTAAACAACATGTCATCCAGCACAGAACACAGCGACAAGCCATTCTCGACCAAGGAAGCGAGTGAGAGGGGTCACAAACCCGGGGGAGAGTCGTTAAACCAGCCGCCTCGAAAACCCCAAATGCCACCAGTTTTCCACCCCATCACGGGAGAGAAGCTTCCAGCTGGCTATACAATCGCTGCGGAAACAAACAGATACGATTATACAGACGATCAGGGTATCCGTCGGTCCATTTATATGCCTAAAGGGACCGCAAGTGCAGCTCGCAGGTATGCTGTCGAGAACAATTATACAGAGTTGGCAAAATTCCCAGTTTGGTGTAGGTTCACTTCTCATACTGTAGATACTGTATGTCGTACCGGCTTCCCTAGAGATACTGACTTGATATACCTTTGTAGCGGGCCAGGGATATGCCCCAGAGGATTATGATATTATTGGACCAGATGGGGAACGCCATAGTTGCAAGGATTTCATGACTGAGAAGAAAAAGAACTGACCGCGTTATTATAAAGTGTCTATTCTAGCTTTACATCCCGGGGCAAATAGTCAACTACTTGACACTCCAATAATGTTCCGTAGTAACAAGCGTACTGGCTATTCACAAGAATCAAGATATTTTCGCGGCCCTTGCGAGGAGGCCATGCACTAATACTTTGTCCTGTCTGGTGACATGACTGCCAACTTTAATGGTACGGTGGCGGATGAATCAGTTGCATTGATATCTGCGCCATAGCTCAAGAGCAACCAGTTGAGTCTACGATTAACGTCCGTCTGTATTGCACAGCCAAGTAAATGGGGAAAGAGCGCGTCGTGTCCGGGGTACTGATATCTGTGCCGTTAAGAATAAGCAAACGCGCCATCACCACTGGACCCCCATTCAATGTCATTAGCAGCATGCTGGAAGAGAATTGACCGGAAGCTCTGCTTTCTATGCTGCTTGTCGTGTTATCGCAGGGCTCGAGGAAACAAAGTGAGGAGGCCTAGACATGTGCAATGTTAGCCAACTCAATTGCAGTGATGATGAGCACGGCAATGCAGCTGATGTTTGGCTGTACTTGGTCTTTGCTAGTTTGTTGTGTGGTACTAAAAAAAATGGAAAGGACTGAAGAAGGAATAAATAAAAAATTAAAGAACAAAAAGGAAAATAAAAACAACTAAATTGATTAAATATATATGCATATTGGATGGGAAACGTTATTCCTTAAAAAAAAGAAGATAACATCGAGCTATCCTTCGAGATTGACAAGTGCAATCCATAAATTGCTTCTCGCTTTGTCCGATTATCTGCCCAGAGTCTGTCAAGTAGTCTCCGACGCCATCATGGGAAGGAGTAAAATATAATGATATCAGAACAATCTCCATGTTGATGTGGCGATGTTGTGACGGAACTCGTTGCAGTTTCCACATCGTAGAGCGGCGTGTTAAGAACGGCGTTTGAGCCCACCGGGTTGCGCCCGCCGTCTTGTGTAGTTGTCTTGAGCAGACGCATTGTAGGCTGAGCTTCTAAATGCAGTTCAAGATGGTCGCATCAGGAAAAAGAAGGAACAACTTGGCATGAGGCTGACAACTTGCCTGACGATTCCCCTCGTTGGCTCCCGCATTTTTCTCGGCCCCATCATGTTGCATGTTGCAACTATCAACTTGAAGATTTTCCTGTAGACTTGAGCATTACCGCGCACCTACATCTAGACATCGGCTTGTTCATAATCGTCGATACGATGGGGTGACAAGGCCGAAGTCTGACGCACGAGATCTGCGTTTGGAGAGCCGTTACGCTCATGCCTTCGCTCCATGTAAATATTTGACCCCGGAGATTGGTTGAGAAATACATCATTTTAATATTTTGGCTGAACCCTCGTCTGGGAGATGTGCGATACTCTTGTACTCCTGAAACCGGCCCGATTAGTTAAAGATCTGGTAGTAGTTTTACCCTCTTATTGTGCTGAGTGTGAAGGGACTCGGCTTTTTAGCCGTGCGAGTACGTCTTTGCCTGCGTCTCTATTCTCCATTCGACATCAAAACTCCCTGCCCGATTAAGTGATCCATGTCCTCGGGCTCCGATTTTGAGCATGAAGCTAGGCCAAACACGTGCTACTCCTTTTCACAAACCAACGATCCTTTCCCACCGGACTCTATTACTGTACCATGTTTCTTCCTCGTGTTACTAGACATGCAGGCGGTCTTACCAACAGCATATGCATGCATTGCCTATTACGGTTTAGATGGTTAAAACTTCGGTTGCCCGTACCGCTTCGCCAGTGACGCGAGTGAGCTTCCTAAATCAGGCGGACTAGAAGAGCAGCCCGGTCATGTCGCCACTGAACGCGTGGCGAGAAGAAATTTGGCCCAACAGGTTCCTGGAAAGCTTGGTAGGCGGTACCAGCAATTCTGGCACGATTCGTGCACCGAAGGGTGTTTCCAACAACAGTCGTGCCGCTTTGGGGATCAACCAATATATGATAAGGATGTCCAATAACGTCGGGTAGTCTGGTGGTATGTTTCCTTCGGGAAACCTCCGTGGTCCCAATGTCCCTACGGCACCGGGCAAGCAAAACCAGAGGGTATCAAAATGGACCAACACCTATTTAAGAACCTTTGAAACCATAGGTACAGAGTAGCCAGGACCAACTCCTTGAAGCGGGGGTAGAATGATTAATTATTCTAGCTGCGGCAAGGACCGCGTCATGTCAAGCGTTATATTCTCTGAGCTCATGCCCTGAGCGTAGTAAAATAAACAGACCGCCATCTTCTTTGAGTGCCAGGGGACAATGTTGATTAGTTGGACTCGATAGTAGCACATAGCTAATGGCCTCGAAACCGCGGCTCTTTAAATTAAAGTGAACCTTGACTACTTATTGCTGTATCCGTATTTGCTTCATGAATTGGCATCGGCATCTGTAAATTCCAAGCCATTCCGAGTCCGCTCGAGCTGTCGCGGCAGGCGGATACAAAGGACCAACCCGCCAGCCGCAGCGAAAAGAATCGAGGCGACCATGTATGGGAGTCCTACCCAAGTTCCACCCATGGCAAGGCCCCAACGGAATGAGAGAGCCAACACGGGCCCGGATACCATGGCGCCAAAACTTTGTGCCAAAGCAATGGCCGTGTTGAGAGCTCCGGCCTGTGACGGCAAAACCAAATATGTTGCCAGGCTGCGGAGTGCCGCATAATAGCCCCAACCAAGGGAAAAACTGACGATTCCTGCCGTGAAAGCTCCAGATTGCTGCGAAAAAGCCATAATGGCAGTGCCTACCGTCAAGAGAAACACGCTCCCCTGCACAAGAACAAGGTCGGCTCTGACGGTTGACATGTGCTTTAACATGAGAAAAGATATCCGAGGCAGCAGGAACAGGAGGCTCAATAAGTTAATAACGCCTTTGACGGTTATTAAAAGGCTGGATTTGGCAATCGTCCACGAAAACTTCTTTGATGCATATTGAACGACAAACTGCAGAGCCTCTCTTCCAATGCTTGCCATCAGAAATGATGCCGTGACAAGGAGTATGTTTATCATCCCTTTGGTACTAATCCCATGGCAGCGAAAGTGCGACCATTTTTGCAACAAGGACCGAGTTGAAAAGACTTGTTTTCGGGCCTCTGCCTGGTCATTAGACAAGACACGCCGCTCTTCCAGTGGTGCTTCTTGCTGAGGTGGTGCTGGCATCGTTTCAGGAAGCGCAAAAGCAGCCGCAAGGCCGATGAACTCGAAAGCGACACCGGCCAAAAACGGAAACCAAGGCGTCCACGACATTGCGAGAGCGCCAGACGGAGTTGCCAGAAGCTCGCCGAGCAAGATGATAGCCGACAACCTGAAGAAGATGGACGACCGTTGTGAAGCGGGAAAGACATCGGTTATGATGGTGAAGGTCATGGATGTTGCCATCTGAGGTCCGCCTCCGATTAATTGCAATAGCGGCGCGGTCCAAATAGCCTCGGCGGGGATTCTGTCGCTCATCCCAAGTATGAATCGAACTGCCATCTCTTCCAATATGAGGCCCATCAAGCTGAGCAGCAAAACGGGTTTTCTGCCGAATTTGTCTGCAGCAAAGCCATATGGAAGAGCCAAGATGATCCCGGGCACCTGGTTACAGAAGGCCATCCATCCGACCAAGATTGCCAGCTCAGCTTGGATCTCATCCGCCTTGCAATCTGGGCCTGACGCATTGCCATGTCTTTTGCAGACAATTTGCTCCAGAATGTCGATTTGGGGCGCAAAGGACAGGTAGTTTCCAAAGTCAATAGCGATGATACAGATGCCGACTAATATCAAGACTGTTCTTTTGCTGATGTTTGATGTCTGCTCGTTGTCTTGGTTGGATTCGCGACATCCTAGGAGTGGTGTCGTTTCGGCCCTTACCTCGCGGGCCGAGTCGTGCGTTGTGGCCATGGCTGAATCCATTCTGTAAGATTCGAAGAAAATTGGTATGTCCAGGCTTTGTAAAAGCTACGCGGTAATAACAAAGGACAAGCTTCACCGAATTCCTCGAGGGACGTGTATCCGAGTAAGACAGCCCATGGAGTCAATCAACGATTCGGTTGACGAAACAGCAGCCAATAACGCACCCAGGCAGCAACGTTGTGGCCATCAAATGATCATCACCAACAAGGCCCCAGCCCGTTCAATGTTTACTACATGTACTCCGTACATATACGTGGCGACCTTTTGCAGCGAGCATGCACAACTCTGGCAACAAGGAGACTGGGGGTACCTGGACTGCATCGACGGCACGGCACAGCACAGCACAGCCACGCGTACTGCTTCATCTTTTCAGGCCAGGAATTTCACAGCCCGTCTGGTGTGGTCAAAATTTGACATCTGGACTCACAATATCCAACCGTCAACATGACAGGCGGGTGAAGGGACGCGTCATGGCTGAGTATGCAAGTGCAACAGACCGAGACAGACGCTCGCTAAAGCTGACGATTCCGCAACGTCAGAGCCAAACGGCACACGTACCCAGTATGCATCTGGGGATTAGGGCATGCTCATATGGTCACGCTACTGCAGATGGTCGTCTAGAAAGGGAAGCTAACATTGAACAGCGTTGGGAGTCGATATGCGGTCATGAGGCGCCAAATCCCTGGTCAGCGCGCCCAATATGCATGACTGTATTTGAGATGTAAAAACGATAGAATCATCTCGGTCACCTACCAGTCGGTGCGTCACCTCCAAGATTGTCTCTGAATGACATCGTCAACCTCCTCCACTTCGAGCCATCCATTTCTCATGAGACAGACTGCTACTGTTAAACGCTGGCAATGACTGGGCCAAAGCGGGAGTCTCCATCACCCCATGTACATGAGGCACAAACCGTGCTCGCTCAAGACAAGGCTCAAGAGGAGGAGACCGTCCATGCTGGCACAACAGAGGCAGAGACTGATCTATACAAGGTTGCGTGGAATGGAAATGAAGACGTGTTAAATCCCAAAAACTGGTCCCCGCGGTCGCGATGGGTTCAGTTGACCATCCTAGGCTTGTTGAACTTTGTCACGTAAGTCTTCATCTGTTGATCCGATCAATTTGGATGCCTACTGACATTCACATGTCACTGTATTGTAGATGCTTGTCCTCCTCTATGCTCGCACCAGCTCTCTCAAGTTTGGTGTCTGATCTCGACACTCACAACTCTGCGTTAACCTCGCTATCGCTGTCGATATATGTTGTAGGCTTTGCCTTGGGACCACTCATCACTGCACCACTATCAGAAATGTACGGAAGAATCATTGTGTACCATGTTTCTAGCCTCTTATTCCTCGCCTTCACCTCCGCCTCCGCCGCGAGTATCAACATTGGCATGTTTATCGCCTTTCGGTTTTTCTCTGGTTGCGTTGGAATTACACCTGCCGCTTTGCTTGGCGGGTCTATCGGTGATCTCATGCCACCCTCAAGTATGGGTAAAGCGACTGGAAGCATAGCTATAGGATCTTTGATCGCACCTGTAAGTGGAATCATAGACAAGCAAGATACACAAGCTGATAAGTTCTGCAGCTTATCGCCCCCGTGATTGGAGGCTACTTGAGTGAGTACGCAGGATGGAGATGGGTTTTGTGGCTGAACACCATTCTGGTTCGTATAGGAAAGTTGTGAGATGTGTGTCATGGGGAAAGTACTGCTGACTTATTCAACCACTCTTAGTATGGCGCAATTGCCTTCCCGTCGCTTTTCATTCTTCGAGAAACTTACGCGCCAATTTTACTGTCGCGCAAGGCAAGACGTCTGCGTAGGGAGACGGGAGATTCGCGATATAGATACTGCTTAGACTCCAACACAAGTCAGACACAAGCTTTCAAGGAAGCTTTAGTACGCCCACTACAGTTTCTAGTCACGTCCCCAATTGTCTTTATATTATCGTGGGAGGTAGCTATCGTATATGGAGTTCAATATCTCGTCTTCACGACCCTGGCACTGGTATTTGAGCAGAGATACCAATTTTCACCGGGCTCAGCGGGTCTCACCTATCTCGGTGACGGAATCGGTGCGATTGCTGGTGAGTTTCTCAACCTTGTTCTGTTAAATGGCGAAACGGTTGTGAACATCTAGCTTAACCAACGTTTGCATGATATCGCTGACGGCAAATCTTAATGTGTCTTGTAGGAGTCTTCGCAACTGCCATGGCAATGGACAAAATAGCAAAGAAAAAAGCCAGCATAGACACACAATCTGCCCCGGAGGAAGTGCTCTGGCTGCTTATCCCGGCCGGCATTCTTGTCCCAGCCGGATTGTTCTGGTATGGGTGGTCGGTGGAAGCGAAAAGTTTCTGGCTTGTGCCACTGATCGGCCTTGGTGTGTTTGGTTTTGCCATTATGGCTGTTTTCATGCCGGTCCAGGTATATCTGATCCGTGCCTTTGACCACCACTCGACATCCGCATTGGCGGCCAATAACTTGTTGCGCAGCATTCTTGGCGCTGTCCTACCGCTTGCTGGTTTGGACATGTATGCGACGCTGGGATATGGTTGGGGCAACAGCCTGTTGGCATTCGTCTTGCTGGCCACGATTCCTCTTACGCTACTACTGGTATATCGGGGTGGCAACATGAGAGAGAGAGATCATAATGTACCCAAGATTCGTTCATAGGGCTGACGGGGCCCAGAGAGGCTAGTTCGTTCTCCGTTGCAAGAAGATGTGCGTGTTGATGCGATTACATCACGAAAGAAAGCCAAAAAGACGGACATGCGATTCTGAATAAAGCTAGCCTACTCGAGTGGACATGTTGACAAAATAGAAACATTCATAAGAGGAAGTTTTTCCGGCCGTAATATAATCAAGCTAGAGCTGATCATGTTGAATTAATCAGCTAGTTTCATACTAAAACTAAACGCTAGGAAAGTAACAAAAAACAAGTCAACAAATGAAAGGGTATCTACATGCAAGCCGAAGCGCATACTTCTGAATACCCTTGACAAAAAAAGCAATATAAAGAGTGTAGTGTAAGAAAGCAAACGTAGGTAAGCCTCAATTCCCCCTCTGCCCTGCATTGGTATTTCTCCTCCACCATTTTCGCATCCTGTTCGAAGTGTACGCGGATGAAATGGGTTGTCCAGGAAGCACGTCGTCTTGACTTGTTTTCCGTACCCTATCGGATAGCCACACCGGGAAGCTCTGCCATACATATTGAAGGTAATGGCCAAACGCGTAAAGCTCAATTCGTTTTATATCGTTTGTCACTTTCTATCACTTCATACCCCAGTCGTGCTTTACGGTGATCATTGTCCTCACATTCAATCAACTTCTGATACCGACAACGATCGCATGATTCGGGCGGAAGTAAATTGCAGCAAGGATAAGGCTTGAAGAGATCCTCTAGAAGTGACTTCTCGCAGGTACGACATGTGTGACACCTCGACATGTGGTCAAACAGTTCAGAAAAAGTGGACCTTTTCGAAGAACATGTCGGACATCTGACCTCGTATTCACGAGGAGAAGTCTTCTTATAGTCGAAGACCTTGAGACGCGACTCCCGAATATACGTCCGGCTAGTCTCATAGTCCCTAGTAGTTGCTCTTGTATTAGCGATGGCGTGATGTATAGTGTGAAGTCTGAGGAACATACCCAGCTGCATTTTGTTGTTGCTCTGCCATTATGAGGGCCTTGATGGGTGGTATTGTAATTTTCTCTTGAGAGGATGAAGCTTTGGATGTTGCTGAGTAGAAAAGTCTAGGGATCCGCGAAAAGGGAGGGAGGGAGCACATGGCTCTTTATATAGAGCATGAAAGCTGGATTCACTACATTACATTACACAGGTTTCAAAGTCCTAAGTGCACAGCGTTTGTCTTTGCTAGTGCACTGCCTAGCCAAGACCATAAAGTAGACATGCTATTTCAGTGAAGGAAGTAAGGCCTTGTCCTATCATGATTTCACTCCCCTATCTCACAAAGACACCAAAGAGCACACATGCCAAGTCTCAGATATATGCATGTTCTGTTCAAGTCACATGTAGTCGTAGTAGACTGGGTAGTTCAGTCGGTGCAAAGACCACACTTCATCTTCAACAGCCTTTGTGTTTCCGCAACACCTAGTTTCATCGTGCCGCCACAACCGCCGCACCGACCACTCTCAGAATTCTGTGCGCGCTGCTTGACCAAGCTCTCCTTCACGGCTGTGGTCTGTGACCCGGGGTGGCCGCTTTTATTCTTTGTCGATTCTTTTGCCCGGTCGATGTGGCGTGATCAAGGTTGCGACAGTCACAGCTCCCTCTATCAAACGGCCTTTCTGCAAGTCGTGCTGCCTTGAATTCTGCCCACTAGTCGAACATAAGACGCTGCTAATCGCACATGCCAGTAGCGTAAACTGATCATGTGGCAATAACAGGGAATCTTAGAATATAAAGATCTGTGACTGTCACACGGTCAAGACCTGGACAAAGGTATTAGATTGTAAAGGTTACACAACAACAACAACAAAGAAAGGTGTTACGGGAGCCCGGGGTCAGACCACGAGCGAGGGCTGCCTTAGATACCATCCCTCATCGATTTTGTAAATACCTCTAGTCTCTCAACATCTCTCAAGAACGAAGGACTTTTAATACCTTGAAGTTAATTATTAAATGGATATACTGGCCAAGTATTCCAAGTCTAGCAACCTTGTCCCTGTTACAGTGACGCCTGAATCACTGTATATTGGGTGTCAGGTATCAGTTCAAACTTGCCTACGCTGGCAACTTCTATACGTACAGATGCTATCTGGTAACTTTGTTGACGGGTCTAAGGCTCAGAAAACCTCGATCAGTCTCTTCCACTGGAAGTCGAACTACAAGGAAGGTTCTGGAGTCAGTTGCCATTCAAGCCTCCAGCTGTCGTGACTGGCTTCCCCTTTTCGGGCCTCCTTCCATTAGCTGCAACCAATCAGGTTGCGTGCATGGACGGATGCTACTATTGACCTTTCCAA